TGGATTTGGAAGACCATATAACCAAATGCGACCAGATTTCCATTCTGAAACCTAAAATGTATTGCGTTTCCGACTGCTATTTACAAAAAAGCCCAAATACTTTGGCATCGAAATGAGTAAAAATAGTCAATAATTAACCGCATTTTTTCCCGCGATCTTACACAGGTTAGACGGATTATTTATTGTTATTAGTCGGTATTTTTTGTTTTTCTTTTTGTTATTGTCAGTCCACGTCATTTCAAAATTCTGGACAAGCAACAACCATGAACCAATTTGATACTTGTGAGACTCTTTTTTTTTAAAGTTTGAAAGTTGAGACCCAACATGGTTCTTGACTTATGAATCACCATTCTGAATGCGAAAATGGGCTTCACACCACCAAAGACGACATAAAAGTTCGTGGATAAGGAAGAACAATCTAACAGACAACAAAAGGTGTGGTTGTCTGAGTAATGTTTTGTCACAAGCTACGCCCGTGTGTACGTGTAACCCGAATATTAAAAAAAATTACATTACCGAAAGTGCAAAAAGCACAAGCAACGCAAAGTATGGTACCACCCCACTTTGCAGTTTCTCAGTTGTGATGTCGACCAGGACACTGGTGGGCATCGCGCCAGCGTCATTACCGCCAATGCCACAAAGATCGTTCCACGATATTCTGAAATACCCATTTTCTCCCCAGTTATCTCCCCAACTGTTTCTGATCACCAAAAACGCTTTACCACCTTCAACACCATATCCCACAACTACAACAACATGGTTCGTACCTATGTTGGGGTTGCCGCAGTCCAAGTCCAATACCCCATGTGTGTAATACTGGAGGTCTTGTGACGCGTACATTGACGTCACAAACGGCCCGTAATTATTCAGAACGCTTTTGACACACTCCTCCGTGTAGCAGTTGTCGAAACTCTTGTAACTCTTGACCTTCAACACCGAACTTTTTTTCTCGCACTTGTTTCTCGAACAATCGTCCATTGAAGTGTAAAAATCTTTGTAGGGGTACGCCTTCTCAGTGGTGTAGCCTTTCACATGTTTTAAAACATCTTGGGGAAAGCCACCACAACACCTCTCTGAGCTTCCTGTGTTACAATCCAAAATCTGTTGCGCCGATATTTGTTCTTTCCTCCCCGTCTTCATTGCGTATTTTGTCTCGAGCAACTGTGCAACACCAAACGCATAACACGAGCCGCACTCGCCTTGGTTTTGTGTTTTGCTCGCGCAGTAGTCATACTTCTTTCCATTGTTCACGTTGTAATTTCCACAAAATATCAGCGATTCTGGTAGGGATGTCTTTTTGAATTGTGGCGGGTTCGCCTTTTTGTACGATTTTTTGTATTCTTCAGGCACCTTTTTACCCATCAAGTGTCTCTTCTCTTCTGTGGTCATCAATGCATACTTGTTTACCCCAAAATGCTCTCCATACTTCGTGTTCAACTCATTTATGTGGGCAATGTTCGCCAAAAAAACAGCTTTTCTTTTTACTATTTCGCTGACACTCCACCTTTTTCCATGTTCCATTTCCACTTTAAACTTTTCGAACAGTTCGTCTGTGGCTCCCATAACAGCCATCGCATTCCACAATATAATCATCATGAAATTCATGCATCAATACTTTTTTTCTTGCCTCAAATATCTTTTCTTTCCCGATTTTTCAATCTCAGTTGTTATTTCCCTAACTTTGTTTTCTTAAATTAAAAATTTAATTTCTCAAAACAATATCTTTTTTTTTGTTATTAAAAAGTTTGTATAAAAATCATTTTTTTTCTTTTGTATTGTTTTAATATAAAAAACTAATACTATAAAAAATAATTTCTAATTGTAGTTTTGAAACTAATATAAATAAGATTAGTCACATTTTTTGACATATTTATCTAATTAATCTTAATAATAAATGTAATAATTATTATAGTTAATTGTAATATACAAAAAAGACCAATATAATGTTATTAAAAATGTTATATATAACAAAATCAAATAACAAAACACACACAAAAGCAACTCACATACAATGTCTCATTCGATAGGTTCCGTTTTTGCCTGTTTTTTCATCGTGCTTCCTTCTGCCTCGTCAAAGACTTTCATCTTGAGTAAATCCTCGCACTTTGGGCGCATCTTCGGGTCGAACATGAAACATGAGCTCAGGAAGACTTTGAAATCGTTTGACACCTTTCCAGGAAAACGAAGACCCATTGCACCAATTGTTGCGGTCTTGAACGTTCCTTTGACCAACCCGACTTCCTTATAAGGAGGGTACCCTTCCACCAACTCTTGAGCAACACATCCAAGACTCCACACGTCTACTTTACAATCGTATGGTTCTTGTTTAATAACTTCGGGGGCCATATAAGCTTTACTTCCCGCACGATTTGATGGTTTGTTTGACTCTCTGATAACCAATCCGAAGTCAATCACTTTCACAGAGTAAGTGGAAGATAACATGATATTCGCTGTTTTAATATCTCTGTGAATGAATCCATACTCATGGATGTACTGTAGTGCTCGTAACGTCTCGCGAACTAAAAAGACGGAATCTGCCTCATTAAATCGACTCTTACTCTTTAACAACTGCTTTAATGTCCCTTGCGAACAATACTCCATCCCTATATGAACTTGATTGTCATAGATCCAACACCCTTCAAACCCTACAATATTCGGATGGCGGAAGTGATACAACCGAGAGACTTCTATACCTATTTTACTATACCGCTCATCAGCACTGTGTTTCAACGTTTTCAATGCAATTTGCTTCCCATCAGATTTCCTCGTAGCTACAAAGACCTCCCCAAACCCACCTTTCCCTATCGACACAAAATTGGCAAATAAATTGTAGATGTCATCTTTCTCGGCAATGGTGGCTAACTCTTCTCCATCATCGATCTCCTCAAGTTTGGTTTCCTTTTTACTCTCATTCGACGTCTTATTAACATCTTTGCCTAATCCACGTTTCTTCATGTTTGTCACGTACCGCCGCTTCGTCGCGGATTTGACAACTTCACACAACACAGGGAAGTACTTATCACACTCTTCGGGGTATAATTTACTCTTGATACATTCATCACGACAGACGGAAATCAAGTCGTTCAAGTTGCCTGTGAAAAAGTCTCTGACATAATTGACATATGGCGGGATGATGACTTGCTGGCTCGTTTCAGTCATCTCAACCAAATCGTCGCGTTCCTCCTCGCTCTCAAATTTGAATTGAAAACTACGAATGTAAGAAGTGATCTTAACAGATTCTTTTCCTTGTTTGATGACTTTGACGCATTCACAGATCGGGATAATCGTCAAAGGTATCTCTTTGGTAGTGCTCTCGTAAAGATACAAACACCCATTATACACGTTAATTACTCGTTTGTTCCAAAATGTTTTACCACGCTTTTTGCATATATACGTTCGCTTTAACACTACCGTCTATTCATTACTTCCAATTGATTTGAATTGGTGTTTTGAAATATGCGACAGCTAACAAACGTCCAAGAGAAACTCTTCTTTAGTGATCGGAAGCGTGTGATTCAACGAAATCATGCGAAACACTCTGTAAATCGCATTTAAGTCGTCAACAGATTGGGGTTGAATTATGATGGCCATACTCTCACCTAATTCCAACTTCAATTTGTTGTTCTCAAATTTGGAAATGGTGTTAATAATGTACATCCCATACTCCTCTTTAGTCTTCCTGTGTCTGACTAGTCGCAGTTTTCGTTCTGGGAAATTGAGCCAAATCAGTCTGTAGACCATCGGCTGACCTTCCTTAAAAGCTACCAAGACGTCGTAAAACAAATTTTCGACTTGTGTCCGTTTCTCTTGAGGGGTGTTTGCAAGTCTGTTAACAATAAGTGCTGTTGGTGTGTCGAGTTTCCGCATGAGGGGAACGTCCTGTGTGGAGGACATCTATTATTTTAGTTCCATTTCCCTTCATTGAATGAGAAGTCTAATTCCACTTGAAATCTTTTATAGCATCATTTTATCCCATTATAGCTTATCGCTCATTTTTGGGAGTAATTACAATTTTGGTGTTTCTATTAATACATTTTGTTTTATAATAACATTTTTAAAGCGGTTTGTGGTTCTTGTAGTGTTTTTTCGTTCAGAGACTTTTCATAAGCTCAAAAATGCTTTTTTCATCATAAAATGGACTATTGGTCCGTGTTTTTTTAGTATTTGTATAATTAATTGTTATTAATAATAAACTATATTTTATATAACAATCACCTAAAGATTGATAAGTTATTCGATGAGTAAAAGATAAACTTTGGTTTTAGTATTAAATATATTAAATATACTATAGTTTACTAAAAACTTTATCAACAAAAAACAGAATCTAGTTTATTGTATAATACATTTTATTATAATTTATTGATACGGTTTCTTCATTTCTTTATCTCGTTGTTTTTCTGTTTCTTTGTTGAACTTTTTCGACCAATACACCTGGTTTTCAATTTCATCAAACTGGTTTTTGTCAAGAAGGCGACAATTACAATCTTTTTCTATCTATTCATTACAAATCCTGATAACTTCGTCAAATCAGAAAGTTGTTTTTATTAGAAACTAAAAGGATAAACAACAGAGCCAAAAATGCAAATTCAAAAATAAATGCCACAAAAAAAGAGATTCCAAAAATGGAAAAAAATACAACTATTCTTTGAAATAGAAATACTAATTTTCAAGTATTCATTTACTATTGAAAAAGGCTTTAATTGTCAGTGGGGAATGGGAAACCTTCCCATGCAAAAAGTGCCATTTCGAAAAAGTCACCTTTTAAAACTAAAAAAACAGCGCATGAAAAGGTTTGTCCATACCAATAATCCATTTTATTCAGACAAACTCGACGCAGCAGAATTCTACTGGAAACGACATGAAGACGTTTTAAAGGAGATTCGACGGACGGTGGAAATACTAGTCTTCCATTTGAACTCACTTCAAACAACTCCTTTCTCACGTATTTCGTTTCACTGTAAGAAGGATAGAGTGTACATGGCTTCGTACAACACTGCTATAGAAAACATGACAAAGCATTTACAACAGTTTTCTGATACTCTTCACCCAATCGTATCATTTTCATCCGAATTTCTCGATAATTTCCAAGACATCCGAAAGAAACTGAAAGACAAAAAGAAGGAGTACAACAACCAACTTGCAATGTTATACCACTTCAACACTATGTACAACGAAAGCGTGTTTTCGCTCTTCGCGCAAATAACTCAATCGTGTCAGGAGTTCTTCACAAACGCACAATCATCGTTTTCTGGTGTCGATAAGTCGTCCCTTGATATTGTAAAAGCAAAAGAACACGCACAATATGTGGAGATAAACGAACTTAAGTTCGTCGAATACTTCAAAGTCAACCTCATCGACATTTTAAATACCGAACAACGAACACCAAAACAACTTCCTCTCGCAATAGCAAAAACCATCTCCATGTTGAACTCTTCTAATCTCTCTTTTAAAGGTCTTTTCAGGTTTACGCCCTATGCGGACTCAAAAGAAATCGATCAAGTCACACGAAGAATATCAGTGACTGATATAACTGAATACTCGGTCGATGTCATCGCTTGTGTCTTAAAGTGCTTTTTACAAAATTTGAAGAAGCACGTGTTTCCTACTATGGCATCGTTGGAAATGATATCAATTCATATCAAAAGTGGTCAAATGGAAGTGAACACGCTGGCAAAGAAGTATCAAAATATCATCACTCAACTTCCTGAAGAGTCAATAACAATGTTGTGCAACGTCATTGCTGTATGTAAAAAGATTGCAAATCATAGTAAGGAGAACGGAATGAATCAGAAGAACCTTGGCGTCGTCCTCGCCCCAATTTTACTGACTTTACCCGATCCAGAGACACTTAAAAACACGGGAATTAACCCAAACACAACAAAAGAAATTGGATATGGTATTGAAATAGTTAAATTTATTATTACAAACTACGATTTAATCTTTACTGCTGAGATTGTCGATGGGCGAGAGTGTTGTGTTGATGTTCAAGACGTTACAAATGAAGGTCCTCAAGAAGACGAGAAAGACACAAAAGATGACAAATTCATTAAAATCGAGAAAAGCGTTATTATGAATCAAAGCATCAATCTTCCTACACAAAAACGCATGAGAACAGCATCATCTGCAGATAAAATGGGGAACGGAGAAAATGATAATGAGAGTAAGAAGTCAAGACAAAAACGCGTCATATTAAGTTCAGATATTTCCGAACTGATTGTAGGGAAACTGAAAGAAGAAATTGGAGAGAAAGAACCCGATGTCAAACCACCAGAAAAAGAAGAAAAGGTCGAACTCTTACCCTTTCAAAGTAGAGACTTCTATGTCGAAAAAGCGTTACAACGAGGGGATGCAACAAACGAAAAACAAGAAGACAAACCATTTAAAGTGGTCTGCGTATCCAATGTCGCTTGCCAAAAAACTAAAAATTCACCACTACTCTATGAATCAAAAAATTCACCACCACCAGAAGGCAATGAAACAAATCAACATAATATCCTCTATTTAACACAAAACGATTTGTCAAAATCGACTAATGCACTACTCGCTGAATCAAAAGAAACACAACAGGGCCCACGACCAGGTTCAATTCCTAATACTAAATTCATTGTTCCAACTTTCGAACCTAAAAAGAAAAAGAAGAAACAGGCAGATATAACAGTCACTCCACAAAAAGGAAAACGTGGAAGAACAAAAACACTTGTTGAGAAAACAAAGGCAGATCGGTTGAACGATCTTTAACTGTTAATTTATTTAGTGTTTTCAAAAGAATTGGGTGTGTTTGTAAGAACAAATAGAAATATAAGTATAATCTATAGTAACTTTATAGTATGACGAACTATATAGTATTTTAAAGTATACAAATAATACAAATACTATATTAATTAGTTTAATAGAACATAAAATAATAATAATAATAACAACAAACTAATAAAGAAGAATTGTGAGAGATGAATGTTGAGCACGATGCAGTCATCGAGAACGACAACGGAATTGAAATCCCACACTGGACTAAATTCAGCGAGAAAACAGTGCCAATGGAAGACGATTCAGAAGAAGAGAAAACAGACAATGAAACATACACCGATTTACACACACATTTTGAACAGAACGAAAGAAGAAGATACGTCATGCTGACACTCAACCCAGACGACAACGACAAACCATTTGTACTCCCACTTGCCTCAATGCAATACCTCAAAATGACAGAAGCAAAGGAATTGAAAGAAAGCTACACTCACAACTTCAATTTCTCAGCAGCAAAACAAAAGGACGACAAACTCAAACTCGCATTTCAAAGCGTTTGGGAAACACAGGACGCTGGACAATTTGCTCTCAATTTCAAAATCAGCACTCTCTAATCCTTTGTATCTATCCCTTTTTATCTTTTGTCATTAATATTACTATAGCTTTACTAATAATTATATAATAAAAATACCTTCACAAATGATAAAAACCAATCAATATATAATGTAAGTACTCACCACCCTCCAACACTTTCAAAAAATCCATCTTCAATGGACTTTGATGATATAACGTCTTCTTTTTTTAACTTCTTTACAAATTTGTCATAAGTGACCAATTCCTTCCCTTCAATCTCTTTCGGAAGATAACTCTGTTGCAGCACGTGGTCAAACATTGGAGGGTATAAATAGCCTTCGCCGTACCCCATCTTACCCATTAAATTTGTCGCAGCGTTTCTGATGTTCATAGGAACTGGCAAACACCCCGTGTCTTTGATGAGTTGTTGTGTTGTTTTCATTGCTTTGTACGCACAAACAGACTTTGGTGCTCGTGACAAATACAACACACACTCCGACAACACCACATCACACTCGGGATAGCCCATTACATTCACAGCTTGAAATGTGTTCACTGCAACCGTCAACGCGTTTGTGTCTGCCAAACCAATATCTTCACTTGAAAATCGAATGAGTCTCCGAGCTATATACTTGGGATTTTCCCCAGCTAACACCATTCGGTGCAACCAATACAACGCAGCGTTTTCGTCTGAACCCTTTTGGTCATCGTTTTATAATTAAAATCACACTCTCAGTTAACAAGTAGTTGACTATATAAGTAAAACTATTAATAAAAACGGTATAAGTTGTGATGTTAGAAATTATTACGAACAAACTCGCATACTCTTGTGAAGTGCACTAATCAAGTTATAGTGAGACTCCCCTTTTTTGTCATAACTATATTTTGTTCGCTCTAAAAAAGCAAGAATAATGTCGAGTGTTAATATCACTTTTGTTGTTTGATTGTCCATAAGTGTTTCAATTCCTTTTTCTTTAAGGTTTTGTACCTCATCACTACTTTTATGTTTTTCATTTATGTCGTCTTTCATGTCTTTCACTTCTTTTGTATCTTCTTGTGTTACATTTTGGTGTGTTTCTCGTTCAACTACAACACTTTTTTCGTTATCGCGATTCACAACATCACGACATCCTTTTTCAACCGTAGTCGCAGTCTTCTCAGTCTTCTTTGACGCAAGAACAATCTTCTCGAGTTGGTCGATATTAAATTTGGTGTAATACAAATACACTTTCTCGACAAAATTCAGTGCATTTCTTCCATCTCCATCTGCAACGGAAGCGATATACTGAAACACCTCATCGCTCAATTCAAACATACATCCTTTATATTCTTTCTCGATGGCGTTCTTCATAATCGTCATGAGGTCTTCATCTCTTAATCTCCTCAACACAAGCAACCCGCATCGACTCATTAGTGCGTCGTTAATTTCAAACGACGGATTTTCTGTAGTAGCTCCGAGTAAGATAATATTTCCGTTCTCCACCGCTGGCAAGAAAGTGTCTTGTTGCAGTTTATTAAGTGAATGTATTTCATCAACAAAAAGGATAGTGTTGGTCCCCATCTTCTTCTTTTGTGTTGCCGTCTTAATGATGTCTTTCAACTCGTTTTTCCCCGTCGAGGTCGCAGAAACAGTGACAAAGTCGTTCTTAGTTGTTCGCGCGATAATTTTAGCGATGGTCGTCTTGCCACATCCCGCGGGCCCATATATAATTGTGGACGAGATCTGGTTATTTGCAATCATCGCATAGAAAGGAGTTCCTTCTCCAAGAGCCTTTTCCTGTCCAATGAGATCTTCAAGTTTTTGTGGACGAACTCTTTCCGCCAGTGGGGTGTATGTCGGAGTGGTGTCAACGTCGAATTTCGTGCGTTTTGTTTGAAAGTATTGGTCGAGCGTTTGGGTTCCGTTTTGCCTTTTCATTCTCAATCTTGCTCCAAATGATATGTTGAGTTTGAGTAACAAATGAGAAACAATTATGTATAGTTTTATTATAAGTGTTGTATAATTGTCATTAAGATACAATCACGACAACTTTTGCAAATCTCAAAAAAGTACTATTTAAACTAAAAAAATATAATACAATAATTGAACTGAAGGGAATCAAAATCAATAACCACATCCACTTGGTGTTAACGAAAGCTCTTTCATGAAAATAACAGACGACCCGCAATTGTCCTTACTTAATACCTTAGAAGTACATTCTTGGAAGTACGGATTATCAATATCGAAACTTTGGACAGAGGTGCAGTATCTCAGCTCGGAGACATAATCGCCTGAACATCTGAAGTACGCTGCGTTGGTAACGCCAATTTGCTTTCCAAGAGCATTCAAAAGAGTTTGTTTGTTAATTGCGGTTTTACCATCGGCAACAGCACCAGCAGCTTTGAACACAGTCCAAGCATCGGCGGTTTTTAAGAGCTTCATTGCAGCTCTTCCATATTGCTTTGGACCTTCAACGCCTTTGTAGATGTTGGTTAAACAAACACCGTGTTTGTCATACCTGTGTTGTAAGTCTTAGTTGGAGAAGTGAGAGAAGTACAAACTCGTAAAGGAAGAATTCACAGTTTGAAAGGGATGGCCATGAGTATGCAACTTCGTCAAGAAAGTCGTTGTCCGCTTCGACTGTCGATTTCACGTTTGTTCTGTTGGTAGCATATGTGCAGCAAGCAGGCATCGATCCCGAGGAGAAGGATGGCCACCAACCATGCATGGTGAAACCATCAGTCATCACACCATTGAGACGTGTTGGGGAGTCACAGCACTTGGTAGAGCAGAAATACCCAGGCCAAGTCGTTACCAACAACACAAAGTCCCATGTCACTTTACAGTTGTTCGAAGTGCATAACTCAAATTGCCCATGTGAACAATCGGCATAGGCCGAGAAAAGGAGAGTGGTTATCAAGAAGAGCATTGTGTGTTTAACAGTTTTGTTAATCGTTTTGTATGGATACTATTGTGTCGAGTTTTTTACTTATTCGTTCTTTATTCTTCGTGTTTTTTCTTTTCCATTCGGTTCGTTGAAATTTTATGGATTGTGTTCTTCCCGCTATTTTGCATAGTTAGTCAGCTGTCTTTAATTTGAAAATTCATAAGAAGGCGAAAAGCAAAACAAGAAGTTGTAATTATAATAAAAATGTAATTAAAATATATATGTCAAAATATAGTTTAAAGTACTATATTTGTTAATTGTATTATATCACATCCAAAATACCATTTAATAAATCTATTATTTATTATTTCTATAATAATAATTGTTTATAAAGCAAACTATTTTATTCTATTGAAAATAATTGTTCTATTTGTGTTTTTATAATCAAGTTGTCGTTTTAGTTACTTTTAAGTAAAACATTTATTTAGTATTTATAAAATTTTTATTAAAAGTTGTTATTATTTAAGTTTTATCTTTTAACACGTTCAAAACAGAAACGTAATAATAATAAGTTTTTATTTTTTTCTTTTACCTAAACCTTTTTTTGCCTTTATAAACAAAACAAATTTTTGTAATTTTTTATTTATTTTTTAATCAACTCAAATTTGAATTGTTTATTTTTTGGTCACACTTAACATGAAGTGTTAAGTGTTATGTGAAGTAACAACTTCATCTGTTTTTGATGCTACATTGAGTTTTTTGTGTTAAACAAGAGCAAAGCATCAAAAAGAAAGATGGGGTCTAATGATGGTTTAATATATTTGGTTGTTTTTTATATAAAAAGTATATTGTCATTTGATTATAACGATATTGGTGTTTTAAAGTCGTCATATTTGTTGATGTGACTATTTGACTTGTTTGTTATAAAGTGGATTGACTAATTAGCGTTTTAACTGTAATGTCGAAACACAATAAAGCGATATGAAATTTCGTCCAAAAAGATTATTTTTGATCAATCTTAGGTAATTGTGTTCTCATTTGTTAAATGTTTTAAGTAAAATAAAACTGACTATTGGCCGGTTTGGGTTAGAAAGGGGTTTTTGAATATATAATAATAAAATGATTTGGACAATTTCTTTTTTACTTATTTTTCTTCTTAAAAAAAGTTTTGGGTTGTGAAAGTGTTAAACCATTTACAATCTCTTTCAATGTATTGTTTGAAAAACAGTTAATATGCAGTTAATGCAAATAAATGCGACACATTTCAAATTGTATATCAACGCCATAACAAAATCTTATTGTGTGTAAAAAGAAAAAGCCCAGTCTTCAAACGAATTAATTATAAAGCTATATAATATTTTCTATTATAAAGTAATATTAATGACAAAAGATAAAAAGGGATAGATACAAAGGATTAGAGAGTGCTGATTTTGAAATTGAGAGCAAATTGTCCAGCGTCCTGTGTTTCCCAAACGCTTTGAAATGCGAGTTTGAGTTTGTCGTCCTTTTGTTTTGCTGCTGAGAAATTGAAGTTGTGAGTGTAGCTTTCTTTCAATTCCTTTGCTTCTGTCATTTTGAGGTATTGCATTGAGGCAAGTGGGAGTACAAATGGTTTGTCGTTGTCGTCTGGGTTGAGTGTCAGCATGACGTATCTTCTTCTTTCGTTCTGTTCAAAATGTGTGTGTAAATCGGTGTATGTTTCATTGTCTGTTTTCTCTTCTTCTGAATCGTCTTCCATTGGCACTGTTTTCTCGCTGAATTTAGTCCAGTGTGGGATTTCAATTCCGTTGTCGTTCTCGATGACTGCATCGTGCTCAACATTCATCTCTCACAATTCTTCTTTATTAGTTTGTTGTTATTATTATTATTATTTTATGTTCTATTAAACTAATTAATATAGTATTTGTATTATTTGTATACTATAAAATACTATATAGTTCGTCATACTATAAAATTACTATAGATTATACTTATATTTCTATTTGTTCTTACAAACACACCCAATTCTTTTGAAAACACTTAAGAAGCTCTTGGAGAATATCATTTTAGTCAAATAATGGTTTTGTTAACAAAAATGTAATTGTATAATAAATAAAACGAATAGATAATGAAATTGAATTATTTATTCGTGTAAATTTGAATATCTTTATTCAAACAATTATACAAATTGTTGAATTTTGATTTAAAAAATTTCATTTCAATAAAAGTAAATGTGTGATAAATGACAAATATTGTTGTTCTTTTACGAAATTTTAAATACACAGTTTTCAGTATAAAGCAAAACTCCTTGGATTCAAAAAGAAGAGTTTCAAATTTCTAACAACGGGCAAGGAGTCATTGATTTACTGTCAAATCAGACCCTGATACTGTCAAACAGTTGTTTTATTCTTTTTAAGTAAATAGACTCCATTGGGTGGGTGCTTCAATTGATTTAACGTTTTGTGTCAAAATTTCATAGAGAATTATTACATCAATGTTAAAGTTAATGCAGTTGTAACACATATTCAAATTGTTGTAAATGAACTCACAAAGAATTTCTCAAAAAAAGAATATTAGTTTTTTATTCATAGTGAAAAAAAACCAATGACAAGTTGGTCATATTGAACAACAGTCATTTGATTTTTCATCTCTTCGATTGGAATTTCAAGCAACATGTGAATTTTTAATTCAAACAACATTTTCATCATATTTGTCAATACCACTCAACTCTAAAATAAGTGTTTTAATTCAAGTCGATTTATATAACCAAAAAAAACTATAAATTAAAAGTTTATTATACAATTAAACTATATTTTTATTGATATTTTGATTTTATAAATAGGCCTTTTGAAGAAACAATTAAAGTATTTGGATATGCCCTCAAAAACAGTTTAATAAGAAACTGATAATAAGTTTGCTTTGAAGACCATCTTTTGGTTGTAAGACGGACTTGTTGTTAATTTATTTTTTCAAAGACCACAAAAACCGAAAACTAAAGCTAAGAATAGTTGAAACAAATATAGCACCATAACTTGTATATCTAAGATTCATGTTTAATGAAAAAATAGAGTCTTGGATATTTTTGTAAATACAAAACAATAGAAAAAAGAATCAACTTTTACTATACTTAGACTCATTATGCTATTTACTACTAAATTTCAAGAACCGTTCAATCTAGAAATTATTGAATGGTTGAAGAAAGTCTCAAGAACAAGGCTTGGGTCCGTATCCAAGAGAAGTTGTACATGTCTTGGATCAATGAAGTTCTCGAAAAACGTAACATGGAAGCTACCAATTTAACATCAGATATGGCGGACTGTGTTAAATTAATAAACTTTCTTGAATTGTTGTCAGGAGAGCGAGTAATTGGTTACATCCCGAAGGCGAATAACCGAATTAAGAGGATAGCAAATGGGGACCGGTTAATCAAATTTCTGAAAGACCAGTTGAAATTTCCCAATCCAGGATGTTCTGCTGAAAATATAGTCGACCTTGGCACTGATAAAGCTGATAACAGACACTTACTGGGACTTTTGTACCTTCTTTTTAGAAAATATCGACTTGATACAATTAAAAATGACGAAGGAACTGAAAAGGGAAAAGAAAAGAACAACGCACTTCTTGAATGGGTTAAAAAAGTCACCACTGGGTATGGACTTGAGGTCACCAGTTTCAAGTCTTCGTTTAGTGATGGTGAAGTTTTCTTGGCCCTTGCTCACTTCATTTCAAACAAGAGCTTTGATTTTGAGGAATTCAAAGAAAAGCCAACGGAAGAGATATTAGATAAAGCATTTACTGTTGCTCAAGAAAACGGTATTCCAAGAGTTTTAGAAATCACTGATGTCACTGACCATATTTTGGAAGCAAGAGGATATGAGATGTACGTATCTCTGTTCCATAATGAGTATTCAAAGAGACAACAAATTGAGGCTTTAAAAGGAAACGTCATGAAAAGTCAAGAACAACTTTCTATGGAGGCAAGATCACAGGAAGATTTGGTCAATCTTAATGTCGAGCTTACAACAACACGAGACGACCTTAAAAGTGCTGTTGAAGGTCTTGAGAAGACCGCTGAAGAGAAGAAGAATGAGTTTTGTGAACTTCAACTGAGAAGTAACACATTGGATGAACTGATTAAAGAAAAGAAAGAACTCTACGGGAAAGTCGAGTTAGGGAAAAATGAGAAGGAAGTTGGTGCGAAATCTGCAGAAGAATTGTATGAGACGAACAAGAAGAAGATTGAAGAGAATCGTGACATTAAAAAAGATGACGATGAAGAAATCGATGGATTAACTAAACAAATCGAAGAGACCAAAAAACGCATAGAAGAAGTTAAAATACTTTTGGAGAATAAACGAACCAAAGAAGCCGAGTCAATGGCTTCTAAATATGTCGAAGCACAGAAGAAAGGAGAAGAAATGAACAAAAGAAAATGTGAAGTGGAAGAAGAAATTGAGGAATTGGAAGAGGCGTTGAGTAAAAGAAATAAAAAGGTTTCAGAATTGGAGAATGAGTTGGATATGGATAAAGACAATTTGGAGAGAGGAAACGCCTTACAAGAACTTTATTTAAATGTTGCTCCAGTCGAAGAGAATTTGAGAGAACATATCGTTAACTTGCATAAATGGGCACCTTACATAAAAAGTGGTGAAGGGTTCGGTACTGAAGATGAGAAGTTGAAAGATCTCAACAAACAAAAAGAAGGAACTTACAAAGAAATATTAAAAGCACTTGCTACCGATCTTGAAGGTGAAAACGATGATCTTGGAAAAGTTCTTGTCGAGGTCAAAAAAGATCAACTTAAGAAACAAACAAAGAAGCCAGCTATCAAGAAACCAACGGTCAAGAAGGACAAGAAATAAGTTCACTTATTTTTCTTTTGTTTGGTTCCAAGTGAAACATTTTACTATAAGATAATAAATATATTATATATTATAATTATATTATAGTATATATTTCTATATAACTATAATAAGAATCATATAGAAATAAATGAATTGTAATTTGATTACATGTTATTGAATGACCTTCTTTTAAACTCTTTGTGGAGTTCTTCGAAAAAGACTCCGCTTCTTCTGATATTAAGAGCTTTCTGAATTTGTTTTTGTTGTTCGATATAATCTGAAGCTGTTTCAAACCAAGTGTCTCGATTAGTTTGGTTGTCAAAAATGAGAGTGACCTTGTCTTCTTTGTTGCAAAAGATCGACGTCAATAAGATTTCATTGTCACCAACAACTTCGACATCGCTCTGATAATTTCTGAAATGTAAATAGTAGTGGAAGTATTCTATATTTGGTTCTTTTGTCATTCCCCATGAGATGTATGACAACCATTTTAATCCAGTGTTAACCAATGTCGTAGCGTAATCCTTCGATAAAAAGAGAATCATGTCGTTAAACAACACAAGTGTCTGCTCGCGTTCTTTAGTTTCAATTTCATTTTCAGACTCATCAAAACTACTTGAATCAAGTAAATCCGCACTTGGTGATCTCACTACCGTTTCTCGTAAGAGTACTGTGTCTCTTCTCAAATATATTCTTCCAGGCTCACATATTGAAAGTCCAATGGGCATATCTTGAGTGTGTTGAGTGAAGTACAAGAGCATCTCTGTGCTGTCCTGTTTCCTCGACATCTCATTCACAAATGTCACCACCTTTGAAATCTCGTCTTTAGCCCTTTTAAGGCTTGCGTAATCATCATGAGTATCCCAATAATGTCTGAAGAGGTCAGTTAAGAGTAGTTTATACCTTGGTAATCTTTGGACGGGTGTAATAAGTAAAGACAATATAGACTGTTGTTTCAACTCAGGTGGCGCCTTTGTCATTTGTTGAGAAACAAAAGAAGAGAAAGGGTGAGGGGGCGCAAGCGTAGTTCCCACCAAATTAGATACGGCAGTGTTGCATTTACAATATTCTGAGTACATCTTCAGGTAAGGAATTAATTGAAGAAATATCTTTCCTACTTGTGTGTGTTGAGAGTATATTGAGCATTGATGAATTAAATCGTCGAGCAAATTGTGGTTGGTGTTTTGAATGTTTTCAAGAACACTAAATATCGTCTTTTCTTGTTCTTCAGTTAATATGCTTTCATTCACATTTGCTTCGTCTAATGGCTTTTTTATTAAATTGATCACAACATCTAAATACGTCACAAAAGTAATTTCCGTCTTCACTATTTCTTTGACAACGTGTGAACAGTACTCATACTGCTTTTCTAATCTCTTCTTTAAAAGACTTCGATACGCACGCTGAAGTACACAAACAGCCCAATTTCTTGTACACTCTTGCTGGAATATTAGAAATGATCGCCAGTCGCTTAAATCTGCTTGGAGAGTGATATTGAATTTGGACGTTACTTTCAAAAATTGAGGGCCGGTCAACCCAATTAAACGAACTTTATGAGCGGTGGCATTCATTTTCCGCTTGGTTAAATTAATGCAAAGCATGTTATTTGTCCACCGAGAGGTGTCCATAGAATAGGAGTACTTTTTGACTTGAAGTGGAATTACACGCATTACAAAAGTAGTGTCGACTCCAATGAGAGAATCTTTGGGGTTAAAAGTTTTCGATGGCATGTCCTGTAGTTTTTCGATACTCATTGCACTAGCAACAGAAGTCTACAAGTTCGAGTTTTTTCTTTTTGTTGATTTGTTGTGTAAAAGATGAGAATGAAAATAATACCACAAAGATTTGTTTCCTTTAATAACTTCGTTTTTTTAAACGAAAAATATGAAATTGAAAAGACGGTCAAAACAGCCATTTTATATCTTGAAATAAGGGAGATTTCTTCAAGTCTTTTGTACTATATATTATTATATAATTATTATTAATTATTATTTAAAATAATAATAATGTCATACTATTCTAATTAAATTATAATATTATACTCATATAGAACGGGACCTACATTGACCACCACCACCCCGTTTACAAAAAAAAAATATTTGCCGCGAGTGTTTTTTGAAGGAAGTCCATTTTTCAGCCACTGTTTGTGCGTCCCCATGTCACCCACTTTCCTTGTCCGTACTGTGTGGACGCGGATGTGGTTCCCCCCCGCTTGCAGGGGGGTCAGGGGGATCCGCGCCAAGGGAGGACTTGGAAAGTGGGTGAAACGGTGCACAAACAGACTGTTTGAGTGCGTTTTTATGAGCCTTCTTTTCAATGCTCCGTCTCGCTCGGTTTCCACTAACTCGAGGTGATTTTTCGGCATTTTTTGAATTCGGGAACCAGACCTAATATTATCCCAGTTTCCTATTTACTATAATTTTAATTTGAATATTATATCAAATAGTAAAAATAGTCTATTTTTAAAGGTGGTGGTGGTCAATGTAGGTCACCATATAGAACTATTAAAAAGTTAAATTTTTTTTCTAGTTGATCAGATTTTTAGGAAGTTTTTTAATGAAAAAAAGTTAGAATAAAAATTATTAGTAAATTAATAAAAAGTTACCAATAAATTACTAAAAAAAAATGGTTTATAAGGAAACCTAATCGAAAAAAATCACAAGACCATGTCTGCTGAAGTCCCCAAAGTTGAAGTTGCTGCTGAAGTCCCAAAGGTAGAGGAAAAGCACGAATGCGAATGCCATGACGAGAAGTGCGAGTGCCACGAAGAGAAATGTGAGTGCCATGATGAGAAGTGTGAATGCCACGAGCACCACGAAGAGGAGGAAGAGCAGAAAGCCGAGAGAGTCCAGAGCAAAGGTGAGAAGAAAGCCCGTAAAGCTCTTGAGAAGATTGGTCTTGTTGAGGTTCCACATGTCATCGAGTTCTCATTGAAGAGACAAGGAACCAAATTTGTCATCCACGAACCAGCTGTTTTCAAGCTCCCAGGTGCTGAACAATTTGTTATCTATGGTGAACCAAAGAATGAATTCATGGACGCCAAGACCAGACAACTTTTCGAACAACTCCAAGCTAACATGAAAGAACAACAAGCCGCTACTGGTGAAACCAAAGAAGAAAAGCCAGTCGCTGAAGCTAAAGAAGCTGAAAAACCAGCTGCAACTGAAGCTGATGATGGATATGTACCAAATGAGGAAGATGTTAAAGTCCTCATGACTCAGGCTAACACCACCCACGAAAAGGCATATGCTGCTCTTAAGAAGACTAAGGGTGACTTGGTCAATGCTTTCTTCGAGTTCCAGTAAATCACTATTTTACTGCCTTTTTTGTTTCTATTGTTTACCAGAATCTTTTTATTTAACCACTATAAATATAATTCTTTTCATTCAATTTAACAATATCTACTGTATTATATATATTAATAACAATACTCATAACATTTACTATACTATTAGTAAAAGTACGATACAAAAGAACGAAAATAACTTCAAAATCACTTTTTCCCCAATTCAGACACGACCTGTGGGTTTGTGACAGTTGTGAGTGTGTTGAAATACGACGCCTTTTCAAACGGATCATTCTTCTCGATAATCTCTTTGATGAGAGTTGATCGTCTTAGATAAGGCTTTAAGTAGTCATCAGGTGACATGTTAAGTGAACAACAGTAATTTGCATTCACCGCAGTCTCTCTGACCAAACTTGGCAACAATTTCTTTGTGATGACCATCCCATCCATCAGAGGACCAAAGAGGCGGACATTTGGTTTCCTCCAGATGCGGATTTTATACATTCCTTTCCCAAGAGGATTCACAACAATATGTGCTGAGTTGAAGTGACTCGATATGGTGTATGGAGAGTATTCACCATCTTCATTCCATATAATATGAACGTAGTCATTGCCTACATGACGCTTCTTGACAATTTGTTGCTCATCGTCGGCCTGTGTTGGAATTAATACAACATCATGGAAGACTACTTCCTTTGATGAGTCGGAGTAATATCGTATCTTCTCACCAGTCGTACAAAACACTTTGTCGAGCCCACCAATGAACCCGTTGTGCTTCTTCATGTCAACAGTCCATCCAAGTCCTTCTGCAAACTCTTGGTACTCATCACTTGCTCCTTCATTCTTTAAAATGTCAAGCTGATCGGTTTGCCCCTTTTGGACGTAAACTAACCCAATTTTGTGGAATGGGCGAACACTTGATTTGTCAAGGTTCGAGAGAAGTATTTTAAACTTATCACTCGGATTTAAGGGTACCACCCGCTTGTTCACTTTCCCCATCTCATCGATGTTCTCAACAGCACACAACATACTTTGAATCTGTAACTTGGTGGTGTCGACTTCTAACTTCACTTTTTTTTCTTCATTTGGTCCTTGAATAGCTGATCCAAGCTCTTTCATATCACTCTCGATACTTTGGACACTCTTCCCCATCAACTCTAACTCATCTGTATATGCATCTTCTTCGATGCCTCCAGGTATTCCCCATGATAATATTTGTCCTTCCTCTTTCAATGTGATTTCATACATCTCACGAAGAACGTTTTGTCCCAATTTCACTTTCCGGTCCTTCACTTCTTGATTGGGATATCCTTTCACTATATCTTGAATTTTCACTCGTTGCTTCAATTCTTCACTTGCAAGTTCAAGATCTTCGAGAACAGTCGCACTCTGAACACCCCAACACGTTTTCCCTGCGGCATTCCGGAGAATTATTTTACAGAACTCTTCCGTCGACCCCTTTTCTATCGACATAATGGTATGACCACATGCATACCAGGAAACATCACCACCTTCAACCCCTTGGTACATATACTTATCACTCCCGTGCTCACTGGGTACAAACCCAAACGCATTCATAAACGTTTGTATGATATTTCGGCACTTCAGCAGCACATGCACGATATTGACAGCAGGGTCTGCTGAATGTTGTGGTCTTGGAAGATTCATTGCATAGGAGACGGTGTTGAGCATCAACACCGACAGTTCGGGGGTCAACGACTTCACAAAAATGCCACTTGGAGAGAAAGCCCAATTTGTCAGTGCGTCGAATAAACAGGCGATGTTTTCACTGGCGATTTCCGTGGATTGCACTTTGTTTAACACATTTGTTAAGATCAGGCGGACATCGTCTTCGTTGAAGTAATCACTGAAAAAGGCCAACACTCCAACAGACTCACTCACTGTGCGATAAATGTCCTCTTCTTTATCACAGATTTTATCAAAGAGAATTTGTAACAAGGAAGTAATGTCGGACTGTATCTTTCGAATGCGACTGTACAATATGGCACAAACTACACCATAGATCATCATCTCTTGACTCTGTTTTTGAGTCAAAACAGTTAACATGTTTGTGTATGACTTGACTAATAAAGCATCAAAATCAGACTTCTCGAAGCCATTTGTAGTGAGTACCCGCTCTAAATGTGGTGATGTCTCCTTTGCAGAAACTAAACTGTTCAACAAGAGCACAACTTGACAGTCACGGTTAATGTTTTGTGACTCTTTGAAATCCTCTGCTTTAATACTCGTAAACTTTTCCAAAAGGGGGAAGACAAGAATCTGCCACCCAGGAAGTTGGTTGAACAACACGTCGTATAACTCTTCCATAACTACTGTTGGTATCACTTCTAACGCTTTCAAAGAGATTTCATACAAATTGTTGTATACTTCTAATGGGTACTTAACATATGGGCGGTTCACTATTTTACATATCCCTCTGAAGCACAACTCGTAACTTTGTGGTGAGATCTCAAGCTTCAAAGCATTGAAAAATAGCGATCCAAAGATGTTGATTAAGACGGGGTGATTGGGTTGCGATTCGACATGTAATCGATATAATTTCGTTTCCGCCTTCACAAATATGATGAAAATGTCATACAATGTTTTGATAGCACAGTCATAGTGGATATCTTTTGGTATATCATTAATTTTCGAAAGTAATGAAAAGACAAGGTTAAACACATTTAATCCACTTTCTGACGCCAAGTCGGGGAAATCATTCATGAATTTATCTTCGAATGATGGTGCGATAAAGACATCTTCCAAATTATCCAAATGCGTTGATCGCAACACCTTTTTGTTACTGACTATAACATCGTCTGTGTTTTCTAACAACAATTTCGAGTAGTAATCGCGCAACACAAGTCGAGAACAATGCAACAACTTTGATTTGATCTGTGCAATAACAAAAGGATTACCAAAGTGTTTTTCCATCGATGTTCTTAGCAATTCCCAGTCTTCGGCCCCTCGATTCCAATTCAAAAACAACACAAAAAGCAAATCAACGTAACTTGTGATCGAGTCGCCAAAGTTTGCGCTGACAAACCACTCAATAGCAAACAATGTCGTTTTAATGATTTCAACTTTCAGTTCTTCAGAGATGTTTGCCTTTCCAAACTTCTGCAATTCTTTTTTGATGTTGAGAGTGAGTTCCTTGGCTTTGACTGGACTCCCCGTAAATATCGTCTTCTCACAAAACGGTTTTAACGCGGATATAATAAAGAGTTGAATCTTCTGGACATTCTCCGTGTTTTTATATGTAAAAACGTTGGTGATAAATAACTCAATCATCGAGCTGATAGTGACAAGGACGATACTTATAGTTTCATCGGTAGGTGGGAGTGCAAGGGCTTTCTGATAGAAGAACTGGAAGAACATAAGCAAATTGTCTCTTGTTCTCAGTTGTTTTGAGACCGTCGAATTCACAAGATCTTTCAACATGTTGAGAGTTGTTTGTATAACAGTACCAGAAGGTTCCTCGACGCCACATGACGGGTTTTCTTCAATATATTTATAACCAACTTTCTTTGCAAAAGACGGGTACGTCCATGAAAGAATCACTTCTAAGAGAGGGAAAAGACTGTCATAATCATCCGGCTTCTTGAATTCAGTAAAGAAGTTGTTCAACATTTTGAGTGACGCGAATTTCTGATCAATTTCGCCTTCATTTGGACAGAACAGGTTTTCGCCATATCCAGTGCCAAGGGATGGGAGACTATTGGAATTATAAATGGTGTTCAAATTCAAACTCTTCACAAATAAGTCAACCAAATCCTTTTGGTATTTGTAATGGACAACTGCTTTAATTAACACCAAAAATGATTGCTCTCGCAGTTGTTCATTTGTGTCGATCTTGAGGTAATTCATGAAAAACTTACCTACTCAGTTAATCGACTTCTATAACAGCATAATAATACTAATACTATTGTAATAGAAATAATAATAACAAACTAAACAATTCGAAAACACAGATGTCTGTGTAATTGAAAACAAAGATTATCCGCTCGATGATCCGAACATGAAGAACCGCTTCTTTAAGGGGGACAGAAATTCTCCCTTTCTTGGTGTGCAGTTGCATGTAATTGGAGACATCAACTAAAAACGCGGAGAATTTCTGCTTCTCCAAAATGATAAGAGAATGAAACTCTTCTTCATTCAGAAGTTCCATCAGCGAGATACACGCCTTCACACGACTTTGTGCGGTTTCCTTCGGCTCAAAGATGATCGCCTGCTTTTTCTTCAATTTTTTATCTCGCTCAGTCATGTTGCTCATTTTTGATTCTGATTTCCAGTTCGTTAACGATAAGCCTTTTTTGATGTTTTTTCTATTCATTTCTTGTCCTTGTGTCGTCTTTTTTCCTCTAAAAACACTATAATGGTATGAAAGTATTAAATTTGTCAACGTATTTTCAGGTTCTGATTGGTTTAAGTTGTACTTTTTTAGTTTTGGGTATTTCTCCTTATTATTAAAAAATAGAAATGGTATAATTATGTTGTTAATGTTTTTAAAAGATGGTTTCTTTTAAAATTTGGAAATCACGATAAGAGTCTGAAGTGGGGTTCTTATCATATCTGTATTATATATGGTTTCTTATAGTTGTTTTACTTGGTCAATAAGAATTGTTGTCTTGCAAAAAAAAAGTTAAACTATTATTATATTACACATTTATTATTAAAATTAATTAATTTTTCGTTAGAAGTTTAATTATTTAAAACTTTCGAGTTTTACAATTGTCTTGTTCAAATAATGAAGAAGAATTATGTTTTATACTTTTTAACACAATATTAATAAAAACAATTATAATTGAAATTGTACTTAACTATTATAGTATATTTTATAATTTATAGTTATAAATTTTTTAACATATTAAAATAATTATAAAGCATAGTAAACATACTATAATAAAATTTTGCATTTAAATTATTATTTTGACAGATTATATATAATTTAAATATTAGTAATAACTAATAAATAAAAAACAAATTTACCACATTAGACAAAAAATTGTTAATAAAAACAAAATTAATTGAATAATTGAATAATTATATTAAAAAAAATATAATTATTTTTAATTTTTATTAAACAAATAATTGGAGCGATAACAATCAGAGATTGTCACATTAAAACAAAACGAAAAAAAAGAGTAAAAAAAGAGGGAAAAACTCGAAAGGTTATAAAAATGGAAGTGTCTTTAATGCCAGGAACCTTCAACGTGAACTGGAAACATTTACTTATCGCGTTCCTTTTATTGATTGGGTTTATCGTATGCGTCAAGACACTTCGCACTCCCTTTATAAGGTCTTCATACGACTATCAAGAGAACTACAAGAAATACACCAAAAATGCGCCAGTGCTTCGCGTAGCAATTGTCAGTGACTTGGACACTGCGAGCAAAGATGGGAAAGTATGGCGCGCTCTTGTGATGACGGGTACTATTTTCAAACAAGGTGATTTGTATGACTTTTCGAAGGATGGAGAGTTCAATGTGACATCTGCAATCAACGAGAAAGGGCGAGGAATGGAGTTGAGTGAGTTATTGAATTACAAAGGTGTTTTGTATGGCTTTGATGACCGAACCGGACTTGTTTGTGAAATCGACATGAAACAGAAAAAGTCGTTTCCAAGACACATCCTTATGGACGGGGATTTGAAAAGTGAAAAAGGAATGAAAATTGAATGGGCAACTGTCTACAAAGATAAAATGGTCATTGGGAGCATTGGAAAGGAATTCACAACACCTACAGGAGAGTATCTCAACGACAACCCACTCTTTGTCAAAACAATTGACACAAACGGAAAAGTCGAGGCGTTTAATTGGAAGGATAAATACCACGCACTTAAAAAAGCTGTTGGAATTGAAGGCGATGGATATTTCATAAACGAAGCGGTCACATACGCGGCTTCGAAGAACAAGTGGTATTTTGCGCCAAGAAAGGTTTGTTTATGAGTTCAACAGTGTTTTGTGTGACAAATAGTGCAGTAATGAGAGGTACGACGACACAAAGGACGAAACACGCGCGTGCAAATACATCATATCGACAAGCGACTTCAGTACGTTTGACGTGTTGAATGATCCACAACACGATCTAAGTAAAGGGTTTAGCTCAATCAAAGTACTT